ATAGACCCCTAGGGGTCGATATAGACCACTTTGGGAATCAATGTTTTAGATAGATGTCGTTATTTCCACATCACATCATCAACTTCGGTATTCCGCAACAATAGGTTTTGGATCCAACATTGTTTCTCATACACCAGCGTCATAATTTGCAGCATACAGGCAGTAGCTTTGACGGAAATTTTGTTTAAGGCAGTCGAAAATGTATCTTTATATCGTTTGAGCAACTTCAAGATAATTATCAATAGACAACGTGGTTACCAGCAAGGACGATAGATAAAGCTATGACTCGCTTTTATACAGGGTGTTTCAGAACTGAGGGATCAAATTTCTAGGGGTTATTCAGTGTAACAGTAGAAAACATTTGAGTATAGCGACCCAGATCCGCAAAAGTGTTACTACGGCACTACGGCTTTAAGACGCGTCAAAATTTAGAAAAACGATGAATTGATATCATCACAACAATTGTTCAAAATGTGTTCCTCCAACCTGAATACACCGATTTAAACGTCGCACATGATTTCGGCGGTCTTGACTAAAAATTTGATACTCGTTTTGAATGAATTCAAATGCTGCTTTAATTCGTCCAATCAAGTCTTGTCCTGTTTCTACTGGAGTTTCGTAAACCAAAGACTTTACATGTCCCCACGGGAAAGAATCCAGCGACGTTAAATCGGGTGACCTAGGAGACCAAGAAACTGCTCCACCTCTGGCAATCCAACGGTGCCCAAACCGCTGAGCCAAATACCCACGTACTTGATGATATCATGTACAAAAGGCAAAAATTAAATGCATTAAATCCTAGGGCCGTAGTGCCGTAGTGACATTTTACCGGATATGGGTCCCTATACTCAAATGTTTTCTACTGTTACACTGAATAACCTCTACAAGTTTGACAAATAGCTCTGAAATACCGTGTATAGAACTAGTTGAGTATGTTGATGCAGGAGAATGTCCCGCAGCTAGTTTTTGTGATTTGAGTGGAGCATTTGACAGCGCTAATCATCAAATATTACTCGATACTTTAGAATATTAAGGTATAAGAGGAGTTGCTCAAAAATGGATAGCCTCTTTCTTTGATAATCGGAAGCAATATATAGCTATCAATTTTGAATCCGACGGCATGTATTTTAACACCAACTCTGAGCCCGTCCCAATTCAGGAGGGTGTGCCACAGGGCACTGTACTGGAACCGATTCTCTTCTTTTTTATGTAAAAAAACAGATCTCAGATATTTTGTCCACTTTTAAACATACAGGTTATGCGGATGACATATCTTTACTTATTTCATCTGACGAGGATGCGGTACTCCAAGAAAAATGCATAAAGTTTTTAATAAAACTGATTAACTTTATGAACTCAAGCGACGTTTTTCTTAATACTTCGAAAACAGAAGCACTCAGAATCTACAATTCAGTATTAAAGAGCCAAAAAAATACAAAATTCCTAGGAGACTTTATTGATGGGTGTTTGAGTTGGAAAAGCGACTGTGAGCATCTGTGTAAGTCAGTATCCTCTTATGTATACTAAGTGACATATAAATCCGAACACCCAGTTTAAATGGTTTTATTTTAATAAAATTTTGTATAAGTACTTAATGAAGCATAATAAGTAAATGTTAAAAATTTCAAAATTATTGCACTGCTTTAAAGCCCTTTGACCTTTAATAATGTGTGGATGCACCCTGATGTGCTACGCATTCTCCAACGCGCCTAGGCATGCTTCTGATCAGGTGGTCAATGTCCTCCTGTGGTATCTCATTCCAGGCAACCACCAACTCCTCTCGATGTGCTTCTAGAGTCTGAGGAGGACGTTGCAAATTGAGCAATCTCCTACCCATCATATCCCACACGTGCTCAATTGGGGATAAGTCGGGAAATCTTGGGGGCCATGGTAACAATGTAACATCATTATGTTGAAAGAAGTCTATTAGCTATTTCCACACTGTACCTTTTCATCGTCAACTTTCGTCTTCATCTTTCTATTCGACTTTCGTTTAACGCTTACAATAAGTGAATGCGTTAAACGAAAGCAACACCATAGTTTAGTCGTAGTTTCTGTCATAATTTGGAAACATGTGCGACGAGAATATTTTACTTGGTGGAATATGTGCAGCTTACTTGGTCATCAGAAATTCCAGTAAAAAAAGAACCAAGAGAAAGTTTTGGATACGAGGTTATTATAATAATCGAAGTAACGTGATTATGAGTGAACTAAGAGAAGATAAAGATATTCTTTTTAAAAATTTTACACGCATGTCCGAAAAAAATTTGATCGACTTTTGAAATTGCTTAAACCAAAAATTACAAAGCAGTCAAACCAGTTACGTGAAGCTATACCTAGTGAAATAAAGTTAGCAATAACGCTAAGGTTTTTAGCTACTGGAGACAGTTTAATGTCCCTTTCGTTTTTATGTGAAACATAAATCTCATCGGATCCAGAACCGCTCTTTTTCCTGATGACTTTTTGATGCTCTTTGGAAAAATACGAGCGAAGACTTTTTATCTTTTTTTTAACTCCATCGATATCCATTTTATATTTAGTAGCCAGAACTTGCAAACCATCGTTTCTCTTTACTTTATTTGTATAAAGTTTATTATTTGGATCCCAGAGTTGTGGAAAGCTTCTGTAATCTTCAATAAACTTTAATGTTAAATCTTTTTCTTCGTCCGCCATCTTCTTGTTGAACGCTATAAGGCACAGACATCCACCCGACGCCGGAAAACGTGTATCACAGCGCGCGCTTCGCTTTCAACTGCCATCGCGCTTGCGTTAAAGGCATGCCTCACGTACGCTGTTGACTGCGCTATAGCGCATGCCCTTATTGAACCAAAAAAGGCACAGTGTGGACATAGCTATTGTGACTCTTGCAACATGTGGTCGGGCATTATCTTGTTGGAAAGTTGGATCTGCCAGGGTGTCAAGATAGGGTAAAAGATGGGGTTCTAGAACTTCGTGGATATAACGCTGCGCGTTCATGTTACCTCTGATGAAGATTAAAGGTGACCTGGAACCATAAGCTATAGCACCCCAAACCATAACTCCAACAGTGTGATGAACATGTCTTTCAACAAAAAACTGTGGATTCCACCTTTCACCACGTCGCCTTCTAACCCTGGCACGACCATCGTGCATGCCTAAACAAAATCGAGACTCGTCACTAAAGACAATACTGTTCCATTCCTGATCCCAGAGTGACCGTTGTCTGCACCACTCAAGGCGATTACGTTGGTGTAAGGGTTAGAAGGCGACGTGGTGAAAGGAGGAATCCACAGTTTTTTGTTGAAAGACATGTTCATCACACTGTTGGAGTTATGGTTTGGGGTGCTATAGCTTATGGTTCCAGGTCACCTTTAATCTTCATCAGAGGTAACATGAACGCTCAGCAGTTCTAGAACCCCATCTTTTACCCTATCTTGACACCCTGGCAGATCCAACTTTCCAACAAGATAATGCCCGACCACATGTTGCAAGAGTCACAATAGACTTTTTTCAACATAATGATGTCACATTGTTACCATGGCTACCAAGATCTCCCGACTTATCCCCAATTGAGCACGTGTGAGATATGATGGGTAGGAGATTGCTCAATTCACAACGTTCTCCTCAGACTCTAGAAGCACTTCGAGAGGAGTTGGTGGTTGCCTGAAATGAGATACCACAGGAGGACATTGACCACCTGATCAGAAGCATGCCTAGGCGCGTTGGAGAATGCGTAGCACATCAGGGTGCATCCACACATTATTAAAGGTCAAAGGGCTTTAAAGCAGTGCAATCATTTTGAAATTTTTATCATTTACTTATTATGCTTCATTAAGTACTTATACAAAATTTTATTAAAATAAAACCATTTAAACTGGGTGTTCGGATTTATATGTCACTTAGTATATATTAGTCTAATAATATTAGACGAAAATACCCCTGGCTTACGAAATAATTGTAAAGTCTGGTTTTATCGATGCAAGTTGTTCAAGGGGGTATTCAAAACACCAATTTTTGGGGAAAAACTTTTTATTCGACAACAAAGAATGAGAAAACGTATTATTTGAGATTCAATCGAGAGTGTTTTCGGGAACGAAAACACTCTTCATCTAAGAATTTTAGGTATTTATGCGACATACAAAATGACACCACACGTAAAAAGATCCGACTAATAGCGAAAAACTAATGGCCGAAAATCGAGGCAAACTGAAGGTTTTGGCAACTGTTGATAATGCGACGATGGTTTCTCGCAGATATTTGAATTTCTTCAAATCCATAGGATTTGTACTTCTAAATAACCACAACAAAATAAGTGTATATTGGTCAAGTAGTTTTTGAGGATTTTCAAATGTGTATCCCAAAATACGCGTTTTACGGCCTTCACTACTAGTTCATTGAGCAATATACAGGGTTAGTTCAAAGGGCACTTCATAGCAAAATACACTAGTTTATCTTTCCGATATAAATTGCAAACCATTCTCATGACTAATATAATCCAATTATATTGTTGTTATTTACAAGTACGAATCCTACAGACTTAAATAATTTCAAATATTTGCGAGAAACCATCGTCGCATTACCAACAAGTGCCAAAACCTGCATTTTGCATCGTTTTTCGGCCATAACATTTTTGCTATTAGTCGGATCTTTTTACGTTTGAACTCGTTTTGTAGGTCTCATAAATACCTAAAAATCTTATATGAAAAGTTTTTTCGTTCCTATCAACACTTTCGATCGAATCCCAAAAAACAGGTTTTCTGATTCTTTTTTATCAAATAAAAAGTTTAACCACAAAAATTGTTGTACGCGTCCATGTTTTGAATACCCCCTCGAACAACTTGCTGCAATAAAACCAGACTTTACAATTATTTCGGGGAAATTTGCCAATATGATTAGATTATATGTTTTTAGAAATTTAACAATTGTTTTAAGCTGCCCTGATTTATTGAATATCTATTATGGGCTCAATGAGTGTAGAGTTCGATATGGCATTTACTTTCTGTACTGAGTCAAATGTGTCAAAAAGATTGAGCTTCCTGTATGCATGTTACGCTGTCTTTCATGACAAACATCAGAAAACTTTACACAAGATTCAAGTAGAAAGGTTGAGGACGTAGTTGAAGTTGGAATGGCCTGGATAAATTGGATGGAAGGAAATTTGTTTTCAATCGAGACAAAAACTTCATTGTATATTGAAACGTTTTTAAATGCACCGTCTGTCAATGTGTCAAAGAAAACTCAGCATGGTTATGTACCACAAGAATATCTAACTAAAAAAGTCAGCAATGAGGGTAAGATGTAATATCATGGGTTTATATAAAATGTTTCATATGATTCCTGCGCAATTAAGTTAGTAAGGTAGAAGTGGCCGAAAAGAATTTGGGGAGATTGCAAGATGTATCTCTGCGATTTGATGGCTACCAGCTGTTAATATCGAATTGAATGCTGCATGAATTACTGATCGAAGAATCCTTCCTTAGTTACTTTTGACTGACTCATGTAATTTGAACTAAGAGAAAACGGCCATTTTATAGCCTTTTTTGAGGTATGGCACGCTGCACCATCTTGCTGAAACACAAAATCTTGGCCGGATGTCAAACATTCTCCCATCACTGGTAAAAGCGATTCTTCTAAAATTGCCAAATATTTGTTTGTATCCACATTTCCATCAATAAAATGAAGTTTTCCTACTCCTTTTGATGACATACTGCCCCAGACCATAATAGACGTTGGGAATTTCACTTTTCTCTTCAGACAGTCAACATGGAATGCTTCATTTTTTTTGCGAATAATTCTACTGCGACTGTCACCAACACAAACTTCGAATCGGGCCTCATCACTCCATTGTATTGCACACCATTGTTGAGGTGTCCATTGTCTATGTTCTTTAGCACATCTAAGCCAATTTTTCTTTTGCAGTGGAGTTAATAGTGGCTTTTCTTTGGCCTATAAACAAGTTGTGCAACTTTAGGGTTTTTACTTCACTTTTTTTTTATAAGAAAATTTACCTTGCAAGTGCTAAATCCCAGTTTGTGGGCCTCTCTATGAGTTGTGGACCTCGAAATTCTCCTTCCAACAGCGTCACTCCACAGAGCACTTAATTGTAAATAATTGGCACGCCTGTTTTTCACAATTATTCTTCTTAATGCTCTTCGGTCGGCATTTGTGATATTACTTTTTTTCACATATCGTGGCTTAATATTAACTGAACCAGTTACGTTATATCTTCTAATAATATTTCTTACACTGTACCGCGATAAGTCTAACAAAGTTGCAATTTCTGAGTTTGATTTCCCAGAACTAAAAAATTTAATTATCAGTAACCGAATTTTCTCACTAATAACCTTTCCTCTACCCATTTTGAAAACCTTAACTACCCAGAACTATTTTAAACGTATTCTGACAGCTGTGATTAATAAAAACAATTGTCATGGCTTTTATTTTTCACAGCCAGCTATGCGTTATAGACATATTTTGCATTGAAATGAAACTAGGTTGATTAGGGAGTGATAAAGTTGGTGTTTTCTTCTATATATTATCAAAATATTCACTGTTAATATTTTAAACCTATAACACCCTGCTACATTTTTATTATTTGTGTTTGATAAGAAAAAAACTAAGATTTCAATAGTTTAGTCAACTGAAGTGGGAAGGGGCTCGTATTAATATCCAATTCCAAAAATACCTAAGTCATAGTAACTTTACCCCCGTCCCCTAGTACTAGTAATTTCTGCTCAATTAACTTAGTAAGGCAGAAGTAGCCCAAAAGAATTTGGGGAGATTGTAAAATGAATTGAATGTTGCATGAATTTAGGCGGGTTCTCATTAGTCAATAGTATTGATCAATAATAAAGAATCTATTCCATTGAACATAGAATTAATGGTAAGTTTGATCACGCTGTGCAAGTCGATAGAGCAGTATGGTTGGACGGATGTTCACATTAGACTATTTTACTTCAATTGCATGGATTTATTATTATTGATCAATACGATTGACTAATGAAACCCGCCTTTACTGATCGGAGAACCCTTCGTAAAGCGGCGTTCTCGTTAGTCAATTTTATTGATCAATAATGATGAATCCATGCAATTGAAGTGAAATACGAGTAGTCTAATGTGAGCATATGTTCAACCATATTGCTCTATCGATTTGCACAGCGTGATCAAATTTACCATTCAATTCAATGGCATAGATTCATTATTATTGATCAATATTATTTACCTATGAGAACCCGCCTTGAGCCATAGTAGCTTTACTCCCATCTCCTAAAATTCCTCAAGTTTAGCTACGGCTAGGTATTTGAAGGAGGTTGTGATGTCAATGCCAGTAACCGTTCTATAACGAACAGGATCTTGCAGGATTACCTGAGGGATATTTCTTGAATGTAGAACATTGATTGTTAGAGCATTTTAACAAAACCTTTACAGAAATCAAAACTTTTTAGGCAATATCAAAATTTTTCAAATAGTTTTTAACCATGTCTGATCGCTTCCAGTCCTACAAGATTCTCTTCTTCATCTCTTTTGTTTTTAGCATTGCCTGTTTTTTGCGTCACCAGATCTAACAGACTTACGATACGATAATTTGAATATCCGAAATTTGTTGTTTCATAGTTCTTCCACTTTCTGTTTATAAAAAACGGTAGTAATTAACGTCTTTTTGATTTGCTAACATTGCAGGAGACAAGAATTAGATACTATATCTATCCTAACCCCCTTAGCAATTCGAGATGTATAAAAACTGAAAGTTTAATACCCGCAAACAATATCGAGAATAATAAAGCATAATTAATGTAAAGGCATAAAGAAAACATGGGGCCAGATAACCCTTATTGCTTACAAGAGATTTCGCTGCTGGTCAAGTAGATTCTCTTTAATTTTTTTTTAAATTACAATCGAAGGAATTATATTATCTGATTGCGTTGTTGTGTGTTCTGAAATAGAAATGTGCTGTGGCGTGAGATTGAAAAGGTTTCTTGATATCTAGGATTATTGCCATGCATATTTCTTCTACGTATGAATTTGGTTACTAAATATGGCGATGTTTTTTAAATAAAGAATCCTGAGTCAGGCTGATAAACTGGTATTTATAAATCTTATCAGTTATCACCCACTAAAGGCCTTTGATGTATGATCATATTTTCTGGGATCATTAACAAACCTAACGAAACTTACATGGGTCCTGAGACAGATCCCTGTGGCACACCAGAGCAAATTTTTTGTGCACTACAGTTCTGTTGACTTATACGAAACTTTTGAAACGGATTTTGAAGGTAGGTTTGAATAAATGAAAGAGGCTTTTCAGAAAATCCATAAAAACTCGATTTAGATACAAGAAGTGAATGATTAATTGTGTCAAATGTATTGGGAAGACAAGAAGTATGAGAGATACTGCCTTTTGGTTGTCAAGTACCATTGTTATATTGTAACTGCAAAGCGCCAAAGCTGTACTATGACCTTGTCATAACAAATACATATATATATATATATATATATATATATATATGATGCACCAAGGTTTACTACATGTACAAAGGAAGTAAAGAAACGTTTAACAATATATCTACGGCAATCTAATTCAGACTATGGATCCAAGCAGATATGAGATTTGACAGCTTTTTTGAAGCAATTTAAGGACATGGTTTTGAATTCAGGACTCTAAGCATTGTATAACACTGCAGCACTGTACGTGAAAGAACGCTGGAATAAAGCTGTGGAGTGAATAGGTGTAGTTATCAAATTTGGATGTCTAATATGCCTATGATCAATATTACGCCTAAAGATCAGCTTTTCTGTATATATGTTTTGACGTAAGTATTAGTTTATGAATTAAAACAAAGTAATGATATTTGACAATATTTTTTGTTATCATCCAGTTTAATTCAATAAGACTACCAGAAACATGGTCAAAGCGCCTTAAATCGCAGATGAACCTAGTACAATTGTTTTGCACAATTTGATTCCGATTTCTAGTAACAACATCGAGACACGGATAATACAAAATATCACAGTAGTTGAAAATCGGCATAACCAAAGATGAGCAGTTTTTTCCTTAGTTTAGAATTGAAAATTGCTTTATTTGTATATAGTGATCTCAGTCTCAAGTAGGTTATATTCAAAAGATTTTGACATGATTGGTGAGTCTGAGTTTGAAATCGATTACCACGCTAAGAATTTTAACCTCATCAACCGGGTACAGTCTTTGAGATCCAATTTTAATAGCTGATTGACTTTTAATTTCTTCTATCCTACGATCGGAACAGAACAATAACAGTAATGTTTTACCAGATTTATTGACAGGTTGTGGTTATTCGAGAAGTCATACACTTTTTGAATATCATGGTTTATTGATGTCTGTGCCATTTCCATATCATCAGTATCAAAATAATGGACCAGTTGAGTATCGTCCGCAAAAGACTGGAGTTCACAAAAACTCACAGCCTTAGTCAGATCGGCAATATATATCAAAAACAACAAGGGACCCAAAACAGACCCCTGAGGTACTCCAGACGAGATTTCTAGAAAACTAAATTTATTGTTATCAATTTATACACACTGCGATCGATTTGATATATAATTTCGAAAAAATGTTCAATGCCATTGGATCTATGCCATAATACTTCAAGTTTGCTACTAACAACTCATGGTTTATTTTGTCAAATGTCTTGGAGTAATCGATTGACATCACTGCTACGCCCATTTTTTTATCAATTGCTCTAATACGTATAATATCAACCAAGTTTAAGAGAGAAGTAGTAGTACTGAAAGATTTCCTAAAAGCAGACTGATTCGATGAGATGATGTTCCTCTGATAATGCATTAGTTGTATGTGGCCTGCCTTTTCAACTATCTTCGATAATAAAGGAAATAGGCTTATAAGTCTTAGATCAGCAAACTCATCTGGATTTGATTTTTTTGGAACTGGTACCGCAATTGCTCGCTTCCACGTTTCAGGAAAATAACCTGTTTCAAGGCAACTATTAACAAGGTGGGTGATATAGATGAAAGTAACAGGCAGACTGAGCTTAATCATAGACAAGCTCAACCCATCACTACCTTTTGCTTCGGACTTGAAACTGGAAATTATTACAGCTACTTCATAAGGCTCTGGAAGCCTGAAAGAAAATTTATTAATATGAGGAACATTTTCGTCATAATACCTTAAAACGTGATCAGGAGCATTTGTGGAATCAAAAACTGATATGAAATAATTATTTGCAAGGAACGAATCTGCAATGACACAAACATTTTTATACTTATAAAATTCTATTGTACCAGGAATTTTTGAATACGGTTTAGTACGGGTGGGAAACTTAAGTATGCTTGGGTGGTACAGAGTCAGTATATTTGACATAATATTTTGTTTCAGGCATTGGCTTCCTTTTGCCTTATGACTGCGTTTTCTCATAGATTGTTCTTCTAAGTCCGCCAAAGACCATACGATGGGCAAAAAAGTCGAAGTGACTATAACAGAAGGGACTCTGAGAGGAATGCTAAGTAAAGACTATCACGATGGCGTTTTTTACTCATTTATTGGAATACCTTACGCAAAACCACCGATAGGCGAACTGAGATTCAAGGTACGCAACTTTCAAAGATACTAACTTATGGTTTCAGACAGGGACGAAGTTCCATAGCATTTTAAGTTTTTGTTGTCTTGTCACGGGAGTCAGAGTATAAAAACGCTATAATTTAGCCAGTTTGAAAGATAGTAAGTAGTATTTATCCACCAACTTCATCATTCATAAGTTGAAATTACAGATGAACTGTTCAAAAGGTATACGGCGCCTCAAAAAAAGCGCTATGTGACGTAAGCACTTACAAATGTTATTTTCTGATGTTGCTTGTACTTCAGGCTCCAGAACCAGTGGAACCATGGAAGGGTGTAAAAAATGCCACGAAAGTTGGAGCCGAAAGTCCCCAGTACATGAAAATCATGATGGGGAAGGAGGATAACTGTTTAAATCTGAACGTATTTACCAAAGAGCTAAGCCAGGGACTGAAAAAGCCTGTTATGGTATTCATACACGGAGGGGGTTTCGTCAGTGGATCTAGCCGCCCAGATCTCATTTATGGTCCAGAATTTTTGATGACGGAAGATATTGTGCTGGTTACCATTAACTACCGTCTGGGTATTTTAGGTGAGTCTATTCCAAAACAACATAAAACAGCGCTATTTTCTTATAAATAGATGTTACCAATCGCAAATAGCGCATACGTAAACGTAAGTTTTAACATTGAAGTCATAAGAAGTCAATGTACGTTAGTCGAATCTGTCAGCTATGGTTGCTCAGAAAGCAGACGATGTCAAGGGAAAAAAGAAAGGGAAAGAGAGGACAAAAGGAAGAGAATATAGAAAACAGTTTATGAGCAAACACCAGGCTTTTTAACTTGGCACACGGATTATTGTGAGCCACGCAACAGAAGGTTGCTCTGCGATTCTGCTTGACTATAACGTCGCTGCGCCTTGAGCTTGACGTAATCCCTCAAGTAAGGAATGTCAAGGCCTCTGTATAGAGTCTCATTTGAGACATAACATGGGGCGTTGCAACTTTATCGTGAGGTCCTGCTTTGCAGTACATGAAGACTGTGCATGTGTGCTTTGGCAAGAAAACGCCACGTCACACATGCATATGTAACGGTTGGTCTGACGATTGTTTTATGTAGCCAAACTTTTTGTATCAAACTCAATTTGGAGGATCTACATAACAAGGGATTATACCTCTCAAAAAAATTAAGGAAGCAAGAAAAAATCCAAATTTGTTGGTGATCCTTAGCAGGCTGTATTTTGATAAAAAACGGTTTTATCTAGACTCTAAACACAGCATATTGAAGCTTCAAGATTCTAGTATCCAGGTTTTTTAGCCGAAAAATTTTAGAAGCAACGATTCTCATGCAATTTTAACAGATAGCACAAGACACATTTTTTTAAAAAGTTTTGCTTTCTTTAGTCCACGTGCTTGGAAAATGTTTTTCTATCAGGCCTTTAACGGATCAGATAGCTGGGTTATTCAGTTTTAATAAACTGTTTTTAAAATCACGATACGGTCACTTGACACGCAGATATATGACTTTGAAAGAAAAAGGATCCTTTCGTCATCGACCATACCACAGAGAATGGAATGGAAACTGGAATGAAACTCCTATAAGACTTGAGGGCAATCTTTGAGGAAAAACATTTTTTGTTCCCGCAGTTCTAATTTTAAGAAAATCAAAAAGTTACTTTTTGCCTTGTTTTGAAAAATCGACCGCATTTTTGGGACTGCTAATGAGAAGGCTAGTTACCCGACGGCGAAAGAAACCAAAGGAGCAAAATCTTTGTTTCGAAACATCCTGTAATCTGGTTGAAAATGGAAAAATCAATTATCTCTGTTATTGCCACTATTGGATATACATATGTAACACCTTCAATTTTAAGAAAGCAATTGGAAAAATTATATTCTTTTATTAATAACGGAATATTCCAAAAACAAAAAATAGTGACCAGGGGCGGATCTAGAAAATACTTTTTGGGGGGTCTCTAAGCCGGATTTAGGAATTTGTCGACCTGGACGAAGAAGGTAAAAGTTTTCAGAGAATTGCTTGAGAACCGTTCATCCTAAAATCTTTCGACTAAGAAACCTAAAAATTAGAAACGTAAAGCTTCAAAATGCTTATTTTAAAAGCTCCATACGACCACGTTTGACCAAAGTACAGCTTGTCAAAGATTACCGAAATATTTGGATTTTTTTTTGCTAACTCAATTTTTTTGAGTAGTATAGTTGCGAAAGCTTATTTAGCATTTTGGTTTCAACGCTGCTGTATGCTTCTGCCAGGGCATGCCTTTTTCCCAGTATAAGTCCAGTAGAATCACTCTGTACAAGTTGGACTGTGTTTTAAGCGCTGCAAGCTGCATTGACCAGTGCTTTGTTCATCGTCCAAGTGTTTGATCACATTATGAATGAAACAGGTGCTGTATGTGGATGATTGTTTTGAGCTATTAAAAATAACTTCAGGCTAGAAGCTAAAAGGTACTCTATTCCTACAGTTAGGAAGTTACTATTGGGATTTTAATACAGGGTACATATCGGCCACAAGTAACTGTCTGGTTGAATATTTGTGAAATGGAATAAAATACGTCCATTTTTTTCATCTTAATATTTTATTGAAACTTAGAAATTATGTATGAAAATAATATCAGACAAATGTTCGCCTCTATAAGCCGCGCAAACCTGATCACTTTTTGGTAGATTTCGGGTGGAGTATTTTCAATCGCTCCCGTAATATTCTTCTTCAGCTGCTCTACAGTATTTGGTTCGTAGGCATAAGCTCTAATGCGTGTATAAAAAATGGCGCACAATTTAAATCAGTCAGTTATATATTGGCCACCCTGTATAATTTGAGTGAACACCTTAAATGCATTTATCATAAAGGCGCAGGAACAAGTAAAAAGGGAAAATCTGAGATCGTCAACAAACTTAATATTGTGTCTTCGAGGTTGCAGATTATGTTTTGACGTAGTATAAAGTTTCATGGGGGCTAATATCTAAAATATTTTATTTGAAATTTTTCCGCTTCCTATTTATTTTAAGCCATGGTAGAAATATGTGCTGTTCGAAAATTATGAAACCAGGCGTGCTTTTCATGGTTGCATATACGCTAACGGCGCCTAGAATTTCTCTTAAAATATCTCTGAGCCGCGTTTCATCAATTTGAGTGTAACGCTTGCAAAATTCTATTTGAAGGTTGTTTTTTTTTATTTGTCTATCAACTAACATGTCTGGGCTGTAATAAAAAAATATTCTACACGAATGATTGAACGTTACTTATATGGAATCTATTCTAAATCTAAGTAAACTGTATCATATTAAATCGTTTCAGGTTTCTTGAGTCTGACAGATCGTTCTCTAAATGTCCCAGGAAACGCAGGTATGAAAGACCAAGTAATGGCACTGAAATGGGTGCAAAAAAACATTAAGTATTTCGGTGGTGATCCAAATAATGTCACCATTTTTGGAGAAAGTGCTGGTGGAGCAGCAGTGCACTTTCTGGTAGTATCGCCACTTGCCAAAGGTATGGAACGATAAAATATGTCAAAACTAAGTCTCTGGCTTTTTATCTGGACACCCATTCTCGAAATGAGGGATTAGAATAACTGAGAAAAAGTGGGCGTGGCTCTCGTATCTTTCGGTGAACTGTATTCTTGAACACTAGTAGAACGCCAAGTCATTCTCGGTAAAAAAAGGTGCGAACGTCTCGCGGTCATCCGTCAGTCTCATCTATAAAGATGACCGTAACTTTTTGGAACTTTAATTATGTGAAGGACCTAGGAACTTATTTTGTCGAAAATGGTTGTATTCACAAATATTTTTGACAAATGTAACCATAATTCCCCAGGGATGACAGCATCTCTCAATGATACTAGCGATATTTAAACCTATCCTAAAACTTAGCATGGGTCATAGCAATATATATAATACTAAGTGACATATAAATCCGAACACCCAGTTTAAATGGTTTTATTTTAATAAAAGTTGGTGAATGTATTAATCTTACTGTAAATAACAAGTGAAAAAATTTTCAGCCTTATCAGTTGGACATTCCGGTTTTTATACTGCTTTTTTTAATTCACTAACGCTCTAAAAATGAATATTTCAGCCGCAGTAAAGAATCAACGTTGGCGGATTTTGGTTCTTGACATCCTTTACGATCGGTTACGATGCCTAGAGTACGGAGACCTGTACTATTTCGTCAACTTAGTGAGTTTGATAGGGTCCGTATAGTGGGACTTCGGGAAGCTGGACTTTCTTTTCGGGCAATTGCAGTTAGAGTGCAAAGAAGTGTAGACACTGTGGTTAGGTGTGGTCAGGCATGGCTTTGAGAAGGCCGTAGAACAACAGACCGTGAAGATCGCCGCCTAAGATTATTGGCCTTAAGGGACCGTTTCTCCACTACCAGGTGCATTGCAAATGAATGGTTTGCAGAACACGGAAGACCTATTGGCATGCGAAGTGTTTACCGACGAATGAGAAGTTTTGGCTTGTTTTCATACCGGCCACACTGGGTCCTCCCTTTAACTCGAGAACACCGACGTAATCGCCTTGGGTGGTGCAGACAACGGTCACTCTGGGATCAGGAATGGAACAGTATTGTCTTTAGTGACGAGTCTCGATTTTGTTTAGGCATGCACGATGGTCGTGCCAGGGTTAGAAGGCGACGTGGTGAAAGGAGGAATCCACAGTTTTTTGTTGAAAGACATGTTCATCACACTGTTGGAGTTATGGTTTGGGGTGCTATAGCTTATGGTTCCAGGTCACCTTTAATCTTCATCAGAGGTAACATGAACGCGCAGCATTATATCCATGAAGTTCTAGAACCCCATCTTTTACCCTATCTTGACATCCTGGTAGATCCAACTTTCCAACAAGATAATGCCCGACCACATGTTGCAAGAGTCACAATAGACTTCTTTCAACATAATGATGTCACATTGTTACCATGGCCACCAAGATCTCCCGACTTATCCCCAATTGAGCACGTGTGGGATATGATGGGTAGGAGATTGCTCGATTTGCAACGTCCTCCTCAGACTCTAGAAGCACTTCGAGAGGAGTTGGTGGTTGCCTGGAATGAGATACCACAGGAGGACATTGACCACCTGATCAGAAGCATGCCTAGGCGCGTAGGAGAATGCGTAGCATATCAGGGTGCATCCACACATTATTAAAGGTTAAAGGGCTCTAAAGCAGTGCAATCATTTTGAAATCTTTATCATTTACTTATTATGCTTCATTATGTACTTATACAAAATTTTATTAAAATAAAACCATTTAAACTGGGTGTTCGGATTTATATGTCACTTAGTATAGTTTAATATTGTAAATCATAAATTGTAATTCAATAATCATGAAGATGTATAGAACAAAATTCTGAGTGACAACTTTTTTATCACTTTTAGGCTTATTCCATAAGGCAATATGTCAAAGCGGCTGTGTTCTGAATCCATGGGCTACTGGAGTGCCAAACGGTGTAGAGGTAGCTAAAGCGATGGGCTACCGTAGTGATGCTAGTGAGGACTATATATTGAAGAGATTGAAAAGTGCCAGTGTCAGCAGGATTATGAAAGGACAAAACAAATTTCAAATGGTTAGTTGTCATACTAACCTATTCCACGCGATACTCCACGTTAAAAAGATCAACAAATAACTATATAGTGATATCCAGAAGATCTCATATCAACAACGTATTCAGAAATGATAACGTTTTTTGTAGAAAGGTTTTGACTCTTAAAGGAAAAACAGCTTATGATCATGACTATGCTTCAATTTCTCTATATGAAAAAGTTTTCGACACTATTTGGTGTGAATAATTCTTTTTAGGTACGCTTTTGAATTCCGAAAGTCACTATTGCTATCAGTACAGACTTCAATACAAAAATTCCATTTGCTAATCAGCTGTAAACTTCAATAAATGTCTTGAAATATGGTGAAAAATAGTGTAGGAGTGTACCAAAATGGAAGAAAGTAGCACAATTCATTGTATATATTGTGCACTCAGTACATCGATTTTTGGAACCTGAAATTTGAGTGTTGAGTTATAGCATCAGAAGTCACACATGTAATAATTTTGTCGATGTAATAATCGCTATTTTAGCTAATAAATGCTATGGCACTTTGTGGTCTTCAAGCTGTTTATGGGAGAAATTTGTTGTATAACATTTCTTCGTACTTGTTATGAACAAAACCTGGTTAACAGCGGTTAAGGCTGAACCTAAAGCCGTACAATGGAATACGTTTAACAGTCGGTTAAGAGGAAAACAGTGGATCTTTTTGCGGATCTGCTGTAACTTCGTGTCAGTCACATATTGTCCGTTGTGTCATCATAAAATACAATCATTTTATTTTTTCTTATATATTTTTGCTTTCTACTTATACAACTAAATATGTGGCTGCAAGTAGTGGGTGAAAAGGGAGCCCATTAGTATGGTTGACAAAAATGGGCGGAGAGGAAGCATTCTCCTCTATAACGAGACAAGTACGTTGAACAACCTCAAGGACGAAGAGTAACCGTTGTACGAGGGATGTCTTTTATGTTTTGCATATGGAAATGAAACAACACGGTAGGTAGTTTTAAATGACTTTATTGTTTTTTGAAGTATTCTCCACGAAGATTAATACACATCTGCATGCGCTCGAACCAATTTTCGAAGCACTCATTCCAGTCGTTTGCTGGCAGATCCAAAACGGTATCCTTGAATGCGTCAACTGCTTCTTCTGGTGACTGGAACCTTTGACCACGCAGTCTGTTTTTAATTTTCGGAAAAGTAAAGAAATCGTTAGAACTTAGATCGGGACTATATGGAGGGTGGTCCAATAATTCCACGTTTTCTTCCGTTAAATAATGGCTTGTTTTTTGGGCTGTGTGCGAGCTTGCATTGTCTTGGTGGAGGATGATGCTTCTTTCGGGGTTGATTTTTCGAAGCTCGGTGATGACTTTTGGCAAACAAATGGTGGTATACTAATCCGCAGTAACAGTTCTTTGCTCAGTAAGAGGAATTGTTGCAATATGACCCGCTTTTGACAAAAATGTCGCGACCATCTTTGTCGTTTATTTTCTGGTTCATAACAGTAAATCCACGATTCATCACCACTAACAATGCTGTACACATCTTTTGAGTTTCCGAAATTGAAAAGGTCAAGCGTTTTTTGACACCAATTAACCCTGGCTGCTTTCTGCTCTTCAGTCAACGAGAAACTAATTTTCTTACTCCTAATTCTTCATGTCAAATTTTTTGAATTGGGGTTTTTGAGATCTTCAAGGACGCCTCAATCTAGCGATATGTCAGATGTCTATCTTCAATGAGTTTGCGCACAGCATCGACGTTTTCCTGGATGACTGCTGTTTTTGGTGCACCCACCCTGGGATCGTCGCTAAAACTCTCCCGTCAACGTTTGAATTCTCCATACCAACGGGAAATTGTCGACTGATGTGGCGCTCCGTTGTCGAAAACAGACAGTAACTCAGCAAGGCATTCTTGTTACGATAATTGTCTCTGAAAGTTGTAATAAATTATGGCGCGAAAATGTTCTCGGTTGAGATCCAGTTTTCTAATGACTTGGTGACACTTAAAAATTTACTGTAGTGAGAACACTGCACGTATTGTTGTGAAACTTTGAATTTAAGTTTACTAAAGAGTGAGGTTAAGATTCAGTACTGACGTTCGATCCGCGCGGCCTACTATGTTTCTATATGCAAAACTTAAAAGACATCCCTCGTACTGAGATCCAAATGGTAGCTGAGAAATACAGCCAAAAATAGAGGCACTTAGAAATAATATACGCTGTAAACAAACAGGTGCAGCCGCGAATAAAAGAGAAGATAAGCCATACTTCTTTGACCTTCTTCAACAATCCTTAAATGCTTCTCAACTCATCAGACGAAGAAGAGGTCTGCAGCACCAGTGACAGTAGCAACAAAATGCCTAGCAGTCCAAGGTGTCCTCTGAAAGACTTAAGAGAAGCCTCAACGAAGAGGGAGAGAGAAGAGGTGGACAAGTTCCACCCACTTAAGGAAATAGGTGGCCTAATTAGAACATTCACAACAATTTTAAAACTATTTAGACCTAAAAAGTTAAGGACTTGGACATTAAAAAATGGAAGATACACAAGAAGATAAAAAACAGAAATGAATAATTTGCAAGAAAAAAAACATATTTAGGGCAAAGTACCAGCAAAAGGAGAGGCTTCCATCGTAAATGTGAAAAATATTTAAAATGATTAATCAACTCCTTACTCGTTAAACGTCATTTTTTACCTTGCATACATGTATACGTACATAGGAATAAATGAAATTATTGTATTTTATGTTCATTCATCCAGTCAAAAAGTCATTGCAACCTGAAATTGCGATTTCACATTGATTTTTGATTATCATGCTATCGGTTATGACCTCACAACATTGGCTAGCGTCAACCATACTTAGCCACGTTACATAAATAAAAAGGACGCTTCTGGCATATGAGCTAAATATAAAAGAAACTTGTCATTTGTTAAACAATAGTATGCCACTACTAACGTGCTGTTTTTTTGTGTAGGCAAATAACTCAAAAGTGACGTTTTTCTGGCATTATGTAGGTTTTCATATAAAATTTCATCTTTGAACTAGCATTCACTTCATGCTTACTTGCAGTGAGCGCAGATTGAACTAGCGGCATACTAGCGGCTAACTGGTGCACAAGTTGACATTTTACCAACTTTTTTGACATTATATAAGATTTTACATAATAACCCTGTGACTCATCGTACTGAAATACACACCACAGTGGTGTGCACTCATTGATGTTTTAGATGTCAATGGTTGTTCTACTCTCTTCCATTTTTTTCCTGACCTTACGTGATTTCAGATATTTTTTTGCTTGTAGAATTTCAACCCGAACCATGTCCGCACAGTGTCAGTAGTTGTAGAATATCCCCATGAAGGAGCCTTCTTGACCCAACATCCTCTTGAAATTCTTAAAGCAGGAAAACAAAATCAGGTAATTACACATTTGTTATAATGCTACGCTGGTAGGACGCTGTTTAAAATGATTATGGCTGAAACATTTTCTGGCCTTGAAACGTAAAAACGGTTCTTTAATGAGCTTCGAGCGATGTATGCTGTTTTGTGCTGAATAGCAGTAGCTGTGGAATAGCTTTTACAGTTCGCATCAATAAATTATCAAATCTGACAATCAAGTGAAAACTGCTGTCAAACTGACAAAAACAAATCCCATGATTACTACCCTAGTCAAATCATCGTACAGATGGCCCTCAGCTTGCAAAATGTACGGCAGTTGGGCTTTTGCTTTAGTCGGAAAGATGACTATTCATTGAACTGCTGGTATGGTATGACGTCAGACCACATTAACATGGCGGACAGCGTTTCCGCCTGCCTAAGAAAAATATATTTTTAGATTGAAGTTATACGGTCTTTTAGGTCTTAAAAAATATTTTGTAAATTTTATTGTATAAAAGAACAAATACTAAAACCAGCTTTAAAAAGTCAATTAGTCTATTTTGAAGCATCTGCGACGAGCTGAACCTTCTCTGTCAACGAACTTCGGGATAAGCAACATCTAAGTCATCGGTTTATTGGGAAAGATAAAGCAATATGCAATATCGTCCTATATCAATAGCATAGTACCTTGTTAATAGTAATCCTTATAATTTTACAGGTACCGATGATAATGGGTTACAACTCTCTTGAAGGCCTTTTCTTCGAATTAGTTGGCAGAATTTGCACATTTCCATACTGCCGCTTGCCAAACTCCATGGAATCAGATATTCCGCATAATTGTGACGTTGATCCTACAAACACTAAGCTGGTAGATAAAGCAGCAAATGACATAAAAAGCTTCTACTATAAGGATGAGAAAGTTTCCAAGAGAAATAAACAAATCAGGTACCTGGTAGGTTCAACTTATTGCAGAACTCACTGCTTAAAATATCTTTTGGACCGTATAGGAAACAGTTATTTATATAACAAGCGTGCACTTCCGACTTGGACCCATCGAGCTTTTTTCTGTTTTATCGGAACGTCGGAGTACCTTTCAAGCGTATCAAATTCGTTTCCGCAAGTGTACTGACGGAATATAGAGTATTTTGAAGAATTTTAAGTATAATCAATTAATCTATTTTTCCGAGAAAATGCAGATTACCTTCATAGTGGACCCTGTTTTCTCTTTGTATACTGAAGTAGATAAAAATGTATGTACAAGCATACCTACATATATGAATTAATCTTTTTATATATTTTAGATCACCAACGATACGGTATTCATGTATGGCATTCAAAAGTCGATCCAGTTGCATAAGAAAACTGGCAGCACGCCCATATATGCATACAGGATGAGCATTGAAAGTGATTTGAACGTGTGCAAAAAGTTCGCTCAAGCCAAGAGTCCTACATTTTTTACCTGCATTTTTGGTATATCTCTACTTACAGGTATGGTATATTACGTAATTTAAATATCTATATATATATACAGGGTGACTTCGAAGTTGAGTCATTTATTTTAACAGTGAGTAGATCTGATCAAAAGAAATGTTTTTTTCCTTTACCATTTTTCTGGTAAAATTAAAGTAACAAAGTTATAGCCCTTTGGAAGTTTGAGTACCGCCCTGCCTATCATATGCTCGTGTTTGGCGACAACGGATATAATCCGCCTGACCGGTTCATCGCATCGGAAACAAAAAAGCGAAAGAATTTGCAACGTTTATCACGATGTTTTTCGTCAGTCGATAACGCGTAAGTGAATAGTAGTGTGTTGCGTGGCTCAAACGAAATCAAAAATGGCACATGTTTACGAAAATGCTGAACTTGTGGACATGATTCTTATTTACGGGGGGGCAGTCTTCACAAAATGCTCCCGGATGCATCACGGATTTATGCGAATCGGTTTCCCAATCGAGTGCAACCAACCCCTCGTGCCTTTGTTAATGTAGTACAAAGGGCTCGTGAATCAGGTGACTTAAGACCTCACAGGTGAGGGCATGCTGCTCCAAGACCGCACGATCAAATACAGGTCCGCACTGAAATACTTGTCGGGAGGATACTTTATTAAACAAGGTAACATTTTTTTTTAATTTTTTTTTTATTTTTACACACATATTTTGGTTTATCTTCCTTCTACAATCATTATCTGAAAATTAATGACTCAACTTCAAAGTCACCCTGTATATATATATATATATATATATATATAATATATATAAGTCCTAAAACATGGCCAAAATTAGACATTCACCTGTTTTTGAGGTCACTGCTAGCAAATATACTAAGTGACATATAAATCCGAACACCCAGTTTAAATTGTTTTATTTGAATAAAATTGTATAAGTACTTAATGAAGCATAATAAGTATATGATAAAAATTTCAAAATGATTGCACTGCTTTAAAGCCCTTTGACCTTTAATAATGTGTGGATGCACCCTGATGTGCTACGCATTCTCCAACGCGCCTAGGCATGCTTCTGATCAGGTGGTCAATGTCCTCCTGTGGTATCTCATTCCAGGCAACCACCAACTCCTCTCGAAGTGCTTCTAGAGTCTGAGGAGGACGTTGCAAATTGAGCAATCTCCTACCCATCATATCCCACACGTGCTCAATTGGGGATAAGTCGGGAGATCTTGGTGGCCATGGTAACAATGTGACATCATTATGTTGAAAGAAGTCTATTGTGACTCTTGCAACATGTGGTCGGGCATTATCTTGTTGGAAAGTTGGATCTGCCAGGGTGTCAAGATAGGGTAAAAGAAGGGGTTCTAGAACTTCGTGGATGTAACGCTATGAGTTCATGTTACCTCTGATGAAGATTAAAGGTGACCTGGAACCATAAGCTATAGCACCCCAAACCATAACTCCAACAGTGTGATGAACATGTCTTTCAACAAAAAACTGTGGATTCCTCCTTTCACCACGTCGCCTTCTAACCCTGGCACGACCATCGTGCATGCCTAAACAAAATCGAGACTCGTCACTAAAGACAATACTGTTCCATTCCTGATCCCAGAGTGACCGTTGTCTGCACCACTCAAGGCGATTACGTCGGTGTTCTCAAGTTAAAGGGAGGACCCAGTGTGGCCGGTATGAAAACAAGCCAAAACTTCTCATTCGTCGGTAAACACTTCGCATGCCAATAGGTCTTCCGTGTTCTGCAAACCATTCATTTGCAATGGACCTGGTAGTGGAGAAACGGTCCCTTAAGGCCAATAATCTTAGGCGGCGATCTTCACGGTCTGTTGTTCTACGGCGGTGTCCAGTGCCCCTTGCTCTTTGCGTACGGCCTTCTCGAAGCCATGCCTGACAACACCTAACCACAGTGTCTACACTTCTTTGCACTCTAACTGCAATTGCCCGAAAAGAAAGTCCAGCTTCCCGAAGCCCCACTATACGGCCCCTATCAGACTCACTAAGTTGACGAAATCGTACAGGTCTCCGTACTCTAGGCATCGTAATCGATCGTAAAGGATGTCAGGAACCAAAATCCGCCAACGTTGATTCTTTACTGCGGCTGAAATATACATTTTTAGAGCGTTAGTGAATTAAAAAAAAGCAGTATAAAAACCTGAATGTCCAACTGATAAGGCTGAAAATTTTTTCACTTGTTATTTACAGTAAGATAAATACATTCACCAACTTTTATTAAAATAAAACCATTTAAACTGGGTGTTCGGATTTATATGTCACTTAGTATATATCTATTTGTCAAAAATTAAAATGTCAGATCCAATATGGCGGACATGTTTGCAAAAATGTTTCGATCGATCTTTTGGGTTTTAACGGCCACTTATTCACTATGAATTACGGAAAAAATATCAATTATATATTGTCCCATGCTTTTCATCTAAGTTTCCGCAAAACTACTTGTCTTTCTTTGTATTTACTCATGGACTTGACGTACCTCGGTAGGTAGCTTTAGCTGGCCTCCCTGGCGACGTTAGTTGATGCCTGGTGAACACGAAGTTCTCTGACCGAAGCCACAAACGTGCCTGCTGGCTCTTCTTGGTGGCTTCTAGTTGTATTTCGTTTTCCGACCTTGTTTTTCTTCAGATTAGACCCGTATCCAGCTGCGATGGGTATATGTTTTCACTTCGGTGTTTGCGATGCACATCCATTTGGGACTGATAAAACCAATAAGAAACTTTCGTCGCTCGGGTTACCAATCCTTCTATTATTGCTCCTGTTCCTTTATTGTGTACACGCTTACGGTTGTCTTTTGTTTTTACGCAAAGCTACTTGTATTACTACTGCATACAATTGCCTGTACACAAGTTCAGAAGACAAAGTCGTACCTACACCAGCATTGTTTACTAGCATCTTATATACCGTAGTAAAACATGACATTTGTGCAGACAAATATAGGATTTGAGAAAACTGTTTTTTTGGCTGAAAAACTTTGCCAATGAGTAGAGAAATGTATCTGATTTATTAGGAATCAAAAACTGAAGATTCACAGAAATTGCAGGTACCCCCTCTGTCCTTAGTACGGCAGAATACCCATACAGGGTGTTTCAGAAAGATGTGCCAGTATTTCTAGGGTAGAAAGTAGAAAAGGGTCTACATAAATATGGGTCCAAAGATGCTCCCCTACCGAAAAACAGGGTGATGACTCTCTGACTTTTTGGTCAAATACGTAGTACGAACGGTGTTGAAAGCCTTCTGTATACTTCGTCCTCATACGTCGTGTCCAAGGTTGCTACCGATTTGTGATATCTTCTTTGTTGAGCTCATTCAATCCGAATTTTGAGAAAAAATACTAATCATTTCAGAGGTAAAATATTAAGAATTTTGCTTAAATTGAATTCCACAATTACTCGTTGTAATTTTGGACAAATAGAACAATCTAACAAGAGTGCATAGTCGAGGTTTACGGAATTGTAAGTTTGTACGTTACTGATTGAGGATAAGACACGCTTATTAATCAATTAATGAATGTTGTAATGAAGTGCTAATAGTGCCAAAGTTTTCAATATCAAGCATCACCATGTTGAAAGAATAAATCTTTTCATAAGAATATTTTGGGATTGTACCTCAAATATTAAAACCTAAATATCTCCAACACGAGTGATCTGACAAAATATTCTTAAGAGACAAAGTTTATGGAAAATTGAATGATATCTTCATTTTTTCTCTGGAAAGGTCAGTGCCGTAGAAAATATATCCTATTAGGGATCTAGATACTCCAGCTTCTACGTCTCTGGTTTAGTTTGGGCCGGGAGACTGTGTGTTCATTGCTAATGATCGGCTCAACGAACGTCCAAAATTCTAACTCCACTATTTACCCGCAACTTTGAAGTTGAGTCATTAATTTTCAGATAATGATTGTAGAAGGAAGATAAACCAAAATATGTGTGTAAAAATAAAAAAAAAATAAAAAAAAAACGTTACCTTGTTTTATAAAGTATCCTCCCGACAAGTATTTCAGTGCGGACCTGTATTTGATCGTGCGGTCTTGGAGCACCGGCATGCCCTCCCCTGTGAGGTCTTAAGTCACCTGATTCACGAGCCCTTTGTACTACATTAACAAAGGCACGAGGGGTTGGTTGCACTCGATTGGGAAACCGATCCGCATAAATCCGTGATGCCGCGTAAATAAGAATCATGTCCACAAGTTCAGCATTTTCGTAAACATGTGCCATTTTTGATTTCGTTTGAGCCACGCAACAGACACCACTATTCACTCATGCGTTACCGACTGACACTGACTGTATACAACTGAATAAAATAATTGTAAAAACATCGTTCCAAATTCTTTCGCTTTTTTGTTTCCGATGCGATGAACCGATAAGGCGGATTATATCCGTTGTTGCCAAACACGAGCACATAATATTATTATTGAGACAGGGCGGTACTCAAACTTCCAAAGGGCTATAACTTTGTTACTTTAATTTTACCAGAAAAATGGTAAAGGAAAAAAACATTTCTTTTGATCAGATTTACTCACTGTTAAAATAAATGACTCAACTTCGAAGTATATCTTTTAAATTTCGAAAATAAAAGTGCATCACCCTGTGTCTCGGTAGGAGAGCACTTTCTGCCCTAGAAATATTGGCACGTCTTTATGAAACATCCTGTATAAAAATGTGCTTAGAACGGCAGCATAACTAACTTATATCGTTACAGGAAGTTCCGGAATCGGAAAGATAGCCACCAGCATGAAGTTACATAACTTACCCGGAGTCTGCCATGCAGACGATTTATTCTATCTATTCAAAGCGAACCATTTGGGCAAGATACAGAAAGACAGCGAACTGGATAAGTGGATACAGAGATTTGTGAAGCTATGGACTAACTTTGCCAGGACCGGAAATCCAACACCCGCACCAGGAAGCGATTTGGTACTAGAGAGGGCAGTATGGAAACCCGTTGGGAGCACAGACATCGATTTCATCTTCAACATTGATCATGGCCTGCGTTGCACTGGCTTGGACGCGGCCGAGATGGAAAGAATGAAGTTCTGGAACAAGTATCACACCAACTTTGGAGTGTAATGTGCTCTTTGTATATGATGGATTTTATCTTGTGATTATTTTATACGTAAATGTATACCTAATTTTTATTTAATTAAATGTGTATGACATTAAATTATATAACATCCGTTCTTCGTCTATTATAACACACTTCTTTATCTTCTTGATTGTTGGTCAGAAATGTCTGCTTTCGGTTGTTTTTACTTTCCACGCTTAGTGGCGAGGATGAAGTCGCGGAAAAATTGGTATTTTGGAGAAGGAAATAAAATTTTAGTGCAGCAGGCTTTCGCAAAAAATATTTCACAGAAGCGACTTTCCAGTTGGTTACTGAGAATTGGATAAAAGCCACAGACCCAGAAAAAGTTGAGATAGAAGTATTTTTAGATTTGAAGATGACATTTAAAATAATTGATAGAGATGTTTTGTTAGGTAAATTGGAGTTATATGGTATATCAGGAAGTGTTTTGGGCTGGTTTAAAATTTGTTTATCTAAAAGGATGCAAATTACAAAATAACAGCAACTAATATTGAAAATACGTCAGGTGGTCCACAAGGCAGTATCCTCTGATCACATCTCTTAATTTATATATAAACTATTTATCTGCCATAGTCACAAAATTCAAAATACTTATTTTCGCCGATGACACTTCGATCTATAAAGGGTGGGCCATCCGTTGGTTTCTTTTTTAAATTGGTATTAAAAAAATACTCTTCAATAATATGTAACACTCGATACTTTATTCAAAAGAATACACCTTCCGATTATTTTACCCAATTTTGAAGCACATTTTCGATAGTTTGTGGGTCTACTCCATCAATAGTTCGAAGGATATTTCACTTAAGATCATCAATTGTTTGAGGATCGTTAGTGTAACGGCCGTACTTAACAGTACCCCATAGGAAGTAATCCATGGGAGTCAAATCACATCCGCGGGCTGATAACACGATGACCGAACTTAGTGTGTAAAAGATCGGTTGTTTCACGGCTGGCGTGGCATGTTGCGCCATCCTGCTGGAACCAGAGATTGTGCAAGTGCATGTCGACTAATAGTGGACATAAAAAACTCCTCAATATGTCTCTATAGCGATCCCCGTTTACCGTCACGCTGTTACCATCTTCATATTGAAAAAAGTAGGAACCAATAATCCCACCACTCCAAACAGTTACTCTTTTTGGATGCATTGGTTTTTCTATGTCGACGTGTTCATTTTCAGAACCCCAAATCCTGCAGTTCTGCTTGTTAACGTAACCTTCCAGATAGAAATCGGCTTCTTCCGAAAAGATGATTTGGCGACGAAAATTGACGTCGTCTTTCCATTGATTTAGAGCCCACACACAGAAACGATATCGAAGCGGATGGTCGTTTTGTTTCAACTGTTGCACAAGTTGCGCCTTGTAAGGAGATAATACCAGGACGTTATGCAATATTCTCCGCACAGAAGTGCTTCATTCCGAACAAATAGTCTTCTCAATTTTCTCAAAGTTTCTGCAACACAGCACTCACTTTGAAAATAGTTTTTCAATATTTCACACCTTTGTTCAAGATTAAAACGATCCATTGCTTACAGCGGAAGATTGACACAATATATCTGTCAATATGTTGAGCATGGAAGTGTTACCAACTGTCAAAATAATACCAACTTGAAAAATAACCAACTGATGGTACCAGCCCTCACAATATTCAGTCTGGTACCTCTTATATAAATGCAGACTTGAAGCCTGTTTCAAAATGGTTAGCATCTAACAAAGTCAAATTAAATACAAGTTGAATGAAAGCTATGTCAATTGGAAAAATCCAATGTACAAATGTTTAACTGAATATTGATGGTGGAGATACTGAATTCGTAGAAAATTTTTAATTTCTTGAGGTTTTCGTTGACTCTCAATTAAACTTTGGTATTCATTATGAGAAAATTATAAACGAGATTATTAGTCATAAACTGCAATGTTTATCAAGATTTTCTGGATGTCCGAGCTCATATAGTAGAAAGATTATCTATAATAGGTACTATAGTCAAATACCAGAATTGATGACAGTAGCAGAAGTCGTCGTGCGCCACTGCTTTGACGCTGTACCTTTTGATTACAGCAAAGAAGCTCCGCGTTTTCGAAGGCCTCCGCGTAATAGCAGTGGCGTACGATTAGTTTCGCTACTGTCATCAATTTTGGTATTTTACATGCTTCGAAATTTATTAACTTTCCTATATTTACCTAATAATTTCATTTTTAAAAAACTGCAAATTTTACAAAATAAGTGCCCATGAAAATAATACTGAATAAAGATAAATATAATTCAATTAGACCATGTGAAAAGTTATATATCATATATCTTGTAATGATCTTCATTGATAAACTAAAAAGTACTATATTTTTAACACGTTTGACTAAATTGACATCATCAAATACCGACCATCATTTATATAATACCAGAAATGTCTATGACTTCCATTTAATGTCCAAAGAGTAACATACATGTTACAGATCTGTATTTCATCAACAAGTGGACTTTTTTTTCCTTGAATAGCAATTACTGTATTAATGTTTATGACAAAACGTACGTCCTCTTGAGGCTACTGTAGATCGCGATACGTGGACATTTTACTAGAAGCTGATTCAAAGACGTGGAAAGTATAGACCCAATATTTTATCTGAACATATGGAAAATAGTTTGTTTCTTGGAATATTCTACAAGGCTCCATTTTCAAAGCGATTAGCGGTAGTTGGAATACTTGACATATTGTCCCCATAGACTAGTGAATAATACGAGCCCCTTCAGTTGGCCTAACTATTGAAATCTTAGTTTTTTTCTTATCAAACACAAATAATAAAAATGTAGCAGGTTGTTACAGGTTTAAAATATTAACAATGAGTATTTTGATAATATATAGTAGAAAACACCAACTTTATCACTCCCTAATCAAATTTGCAGCACAAAAATAACACATGTTGCAATTACAGCATATCAACCTATTTTCATTTCAATAGATGGCTGTGAAAAATAAAAGCCATGATAATTGTTTTTATTAATCACAGCTGTCAGAATACGTTTAAAATAGTTTTGGGTAGTTAAGGTTTTCAAAATGGGTAGAGGAAAGGTTATTAGTGAGAAAATTCGATTACTGATAATGAAATTTTTTAATTCTGGGAAGTCAAACTGAGAAATTTCAACATTGCTAGACTTATCGCGTTACAGTGTGAGAAATATTGTTAGAAGATATAACGTAACTGGTTCATTTAATATTAAGCCACGATATGTGAAAAAAAGTAATATCACAAATGCCGACCGAAGAGCATTAAGAAGAATAATCGTAAAAAACAGGCGTGCCAATTATTTAAAATTAAGTGCTCTGTGGAGTAACGCTGTTGGAAGGAAAATTTCGAGGTCCATAACTCATAGAGAGGCCCACAAACTCTGATTCAGCACTTGCAAGGTAAGTTTTCTTATAAAAAAAGTGAAGTAAAAACCCTAAAGTTGCACAACTTGTTTATAGGCCAAAGAAAAGCCAGTATTAACTCCACTGCAAAATATCGGCTTAGATGGGCTAAAGAACATAGACGATGGATACCTCAACAATGGTGTGCAATACAATGGAGTGATGAGGCCCGATTCGAAGTTTGTGTTGGTGACAGTCGCAGTAGAGTTATTCGCAAAAAAAACGAAGCATTCCATGTTGACTGTCTGAAGAGAAAAGTGAAATTTCCAGCATCCATTATGGTCTGGGGCAGTATGTCATCAAAAGGAGTAGGAAAACTTCATTTTATTGATGGAAATGTGGATACAAACAAATATTTGGTAATTTTAGAAGAATCGCTTTTACCAGTGATGGAAGAATGTTTGACATCCGGCCAAGATTTTGTGTTTCAAAGGGTATAAAATGGATGGAAGAAAATAATGTACCACTTTTGAAATGGGTTTCTAGCAGTCTAGATCTGTCACCTATCGAAACTTGGTGGCACGGGATGAAAAAGGTTCTACGACAACATCCTGCTCGTAGAATCACCGAACTGAGACTAAAGGTTCAAGAAATATGGGATTGTTTTACACCAAATTTTTACCAAAACTTGGTCAACACTACACCCCAAAGAATTTCAGCCGTAATAAAAAATAAAGGTGATGTTACCCAATGGTAATCTTTCAATTGTTGCTTTCTTAACTTCGCGCATTTATTCGAACATTGTTTATTTGTTCACATGTTCTATTAGTTATAGGTCTAAGTGATTTCAAATATGTATTTTTTACGACTAGAGTGTATCTAAAATGTTTTTGAGAAAATAAATTGTTTTAGAAGTAAATAGTTTCATTATGTTTAGTTTATAAAGGCGTATTTTGGTACAAATCTTGAAGTGGGCCAACTGAAGTGGGAAGGGGCTCGTATGAGAAACATCGACTGTTTCTCAAATCTACGTCTTCACTAAACTGGAGTAATGAATTTCGATGGCTTTATATGGAACGAACCAGGTGCTTGAGGCACGATATCGAGTAGACCATACGTCAGACCCACCAAGGCCAATCCTGACCTGCCTTGACCTGACATCTATGAATACTGAGCAGACTGTGGGTACTTAACTTTTTATTCCAAATGAAATCTAATCAGATCAGTACATAATAGAAATTGTGAATGGAAACACAGCTATTGATAAAGCCGCATTAATTATTGTAGGGCTAGCTTTGGACGTTTGTGTTCTTGAATATCAGCTACAGAATAATTCACAGCCTCCATTACCAGAGGGCTAGAATAGCTGTCTGCTCTTTCAATCCACTTAACCAAAAGCATTAGGCATTATGTTCGTATCTTCTTGTGATGATACCGATTCAGTAAGTTCAGAAAAGCTTCGACTATGTATTAATTAGAGTGATTGCCCGCCAGGATGTTAAGTTTGATGTTTTTCGTGATACGTTGTTGATAAGCTGATTCCGAAGAATCACGTAAAAAGACTAATTACAGATGTAGCTCTACAAAAAAATTAAAAGGACCTTTGCATACGTAATTGTAATTTGTCAAAAATAATTAGCAACGAGGTGTTTAAAATTTTGTGGTCGGTAAATGTTCAAGTTAGTGCATTATTATATTAAACCAGAGAAATAAGCGAAAAAGAGACACAGAGCCATCAAACCAATGCTATACCCTAGGTACACA